TTTCCAAGCCAGCAAGCTACAAAATTAATTGGCTGCTTTTTAGGGCACGGTGACCCCCAGGAATGAGCAGGAGTGACAACTTTTATAGACTTTGCATTTGGCTGGAAATCACACGCCTCTGTTATTATATAACTCCAGGGATGTAAGGTGGCATCTTGCCTCTGTCTGTTTAGGGCCATCACACTCCCCCTAAAATGCATCTTATTTCTATTTTGTATTCTCATACACTTTTCAGTCACTCTCCAATTACACTGCTTTCTGCCCTCGTTTAAGGAGGAATTGTTCTGGTTTTATGGAGAAAAAAAAATCATTATATGATGCATAAAAAATCATCACAATTTTTTTTCTGTGCCTCTGTTATTATATAACTTCAGGGATCAAAGGAGGCATCTTGCCTCTGTTTAGGGCCATCACAGTCCCCCTAAGATTTCACCTTACCTTCTATTTTGTATTCTCATATACTTTTCTCACTCTCCAATTACACTGCTTTATTTCCTCATTTAAGGAGGAATTGTTCTGGTTTTATGCAGAAAAAAAATCATTATATGATGCATAAAAAATCATCACACATCTGCCTTAATTTTTTTTCTGGCCTTTGTTATTATATAATTTCAGGGATGTCAGGTGACATCTTGCTTCTGTTTAGGGCCATCACACTCCCCCTAAAAATGCATCTTATTTTCTATTTTGTATTCTCATATACTTTTCAGTCACTCTCCAACTCCAATTACACTGCTTTCTTCCCTCATTTAAGGAGGTTATGCAGAAAAAATCATTATATGATGCATAAAAATCATCACACATCTGCCTTAATTTTTTTCTGTGCATTATATAACTCCAGGGATGTCAGGTGGCCTCTTGCCTCTGTCTGTTTAGGGCCATCACAGTCCCCCTAAGATTGCATCTTCTATTTTGTGTTCTCATATACTTTTCAGTCACTCTCCAATTACAGTGTTTCTTCCCTCATTTAAGGAGGTTATGCAGGAAAAAATCATTATATGATGCATACAGAAGCATCACACCTAATTTTTTTCTGTGCTAACATCTCACAATGCCCATAACAAAGGTGAGCATAAGGAACCAGTAAGTTTGGACTCTTTGGGAAGGTGTGAAGATATAAATTGTCCCAGAGGTTTGTGCCTTTAGCCCAGTGCAGGCAGGCTGGGTCAGTGTGTGTTCCTGCTCACAGGATCTGCCACAGGAACTAAAGAGGGGTGATGTGGAAAGCAGAATGACAGAATGGAGCAGAGCTTCAGCTTCCTGGAGGAAGGGTCTGAGGTGACCTCAGGAGAACAGGGGTGGTAAAGGTGCAGGAGTGCCTGAATTGTCATCTTCCCACAGGAAACACGGGACAGAAGAGAATGAGCTGCAGGGAGCTGCAGGTGAAGTTCTGCTTTTCCTCCTGTCTTTCCCCAAGTCCCTGAATCTGTGGCTGCCACTACTCACAGCTCAACATCTCCTTCAGAAAAGCACGAGGTCAAAGAGGATTCAGCTTCCTGGAGAATGAAACTGCTGCTGGTGACTGACAGGTTTGCTCAGACTCCAAACATGCCAGGATCTGAGTGCTGGGGAGGTGAGAGCAGCAAACAGTGCAGAATATTCTCATTCTCAGGGCTGGTGGTTGGTAAAAATGCAAAATACTGCACTTGACATAATCCTGCTCTACCCCAAACTTAGGAACCAGTGCTGTCAAAAAAGTGGCTGTCACCTAGATTAAATCTATTAAATCCAAGTGAAGAAATAAAACCAAAAGAGATGACCCAAGGATCACCTTGTGTTCTTTCCTCAACAGTTGCATTTCAGCTCGAGGAAGGCACTAGGCCACATTAATATCTGCTACAAGCAGATGTGTTCTCTTGGAAATCCATGCACCCACTTCTGCTCTGCCTGCATTAAGTCTGGTGCTGGGTTTTTAGGAGCTTTGGCAAGTGCTATCTGTTAATATCTGAAGGTGGGAGTGTTCAGGGAGTTGTCGGAAAGGCTTGCAAGACTAGATCTGATCATACCCACCCACACTAATTAACACATTACATAAAAGTACAACAAGTTTCTCTTTGCAAACATCAGAATCACTTGCCCAGGCACTTTCTGTGCAGTTCTAGAAGAACTTGAGGGACAGACTTTATTGCTTTTTAACCTCACTGGAACAATGGGTGAGTGGGGAGGGTTCAGCTCCCACTTTCAGGGCCCACTCCTTTTTGTCATGCTGCTAAAAACATGCCATGGGCAGGGACATGGCTGAACAACCATTTTAAAGTTCACCAAGGGTGCATGAGGGTGCACTTTTTTGGTCATAAAAAACCACAAAAGGAAATATTCATCACAAAGGATCAGATTCCTATGCAAAGGACTCCTCTCCCTGCCTTGCTAATTCTGAAAATCACTTAATATAAACAGCAGCCCTTGAAGCCACCTTGAGTCGAAAAATCCTCCCATTTAAATTTGGCCTTTTTTTTTTTTTGTGAAGGGAACATGTCCCAGCCCAGCTCATGTTTCTCTTACCATTCAAATTTTAAACCAGCAGCAATCTCCTGTATAAGAGCCATACTGAGGACTCTTTTACTTCTTCAGAGTTTGCAGCAAGTAAAACTCATTTCCTATCAAACTCCTGTGCTCCTGCAGCTTCACCTGGATCCCTCCAGCAAGATAAAAGCCACAGTGAGGACTCTTTTACTTCTTCAGAGTTTGCAGCAAGTAAAACTCATTTCCTATGAAGTTCCTGTGACCTGCTCCTGCAGCTTCACCTGGATCCCTCCAGCAGGATAAGAAATGAATACCCCAATCTCCATTTACTCCAGACTCTGGGATGACATCTGGCTTCAAGATGGTGGCACAGAAAAGTGCAGTGATGACATAGGAAAACAGAAGGCAAAAAATGATTGTGCAGTGGAGAGCAGGAGGCAGCAGAGAGAGCGGGGAAAATCAAAATTAAAGTAAATCAAAGGGCGGAAATTCCTCGGAGAAGGCCTTAGGCTTCAACAAAGCTTGTCCACATTTGCAGCACTTCAGGATTACCCAACCCTACCCCTATGTGGGAAGGTCCCAGCAGACCCCAGCAGGCATTCCAGAGGAGCCTTTCTATTAAAAAAACTCTTCAGAGTCTCCATCCATGTTTGCAGCTCGATGGAGCCCGTCCTGTCTGCAGCACTCACCAGGGAAGGATCTCTCTGACCCAACTCCTCCCTGCTATCTGAAAAGCAAAGTTAATGTTTTCCTCATTATTTTCTGTTTGCTGCAAGCCTCTCCCCCACTGTGACTGCTATTTGACCTGCTGTCTGCTCTGGGACCCCAGGGAAGGCAGAGGGAGCTCTGTGTGTGTGAGAGAGCAGAGAGGATGAGCCTCGGCTCCTCCTGACTTGTTTATATTCATCAGAAAGAAAGAAATCAGAAAGAAATCAACAGTGTGTAAGGCAAACCTAGATAGGCAACAACTTTTGTGTGCTGCAGGGAAAGAGCAGATCTATTGACAGGATTTGGATTCCAGTGTGTTTTTACCTCATTTTTGCATTAGGAAGTTATCAATGAACAGAATTCTCAGCACAAAGGTTTAATTTCAAGGGGACGCTGCTTTTTGAGCACAGCTGATTGCACTTGCAGCTGCAAGGCTGGCACAGCCAGCTGGGATTAATGAGAAACTGGAAAGGATCAGAGAGCACAAGGGGAAGTTGGTACCACCACATCTTCCCCTCCCAAACCTCTCCTGATAAACCTGGTACCTTCAGTATTCCAGGCAGATCCTGGAAGGATCTGGATGGAACCCTGAAGGGTTCTCCTCTCGTGGCACTTGACTTTTCAGTGAGATGGGCTTCTCAAAGAAATGGACAAAAAATAAAGCTGGAAGCATCTGTTAGGGTGGGTCTCAAAATCACAGAGATTAAAGTTTCTTTTCATCCTCTCCAGAGAGCCTCAGATATCCAGGAATATCAGATATCCAGAGGTGCCACAGTGCTCCAGGTTACAGCTCTGCCCTGACTCAGGCACAGGGACCTCAACACCTCTGGCAGCACCTTCCTCTGGGAGAGCTCCAGAAAGGAGAAATCCAAGGGTCTGCAGCAAGCTCAGACCTGATTTTAACACTCACACCTTTGCATCTCAGTTGCAGGTCTCCATTCTACATGGCAGAACCAAAGGAGTGTTTTAAACACAGCTCACAGCTTTGCTGCTGTACCTCAGAAGTCTTTTAGATGATGTATTGTGGAATATGGGTTTTTTATCATCTCAATTTTGTACAGAAGCTCCTGGTCTATGAACAAATACTGCTTTGACTTTCTGTAACGTGTTGCATTTGAATTTGCTGAGCTTTTGACAGGCATTTAGGTAGTCACACTTGCAATTCTGAGGTAGGGAAACACCAGAAATATCTGCTTTGCAGGTCAGGGTGCTCCTTCAGATGATGCATTTTGCCCCAAGCCATACAGGACATCTACAGAAAAGCTTGAAATTCGAGTCAGGAGCCCTAAATTCTCTCCTTTAATCACACATCCATCCTTGAGGCACTTCATTCAGGTGTCTCCAGTTGGACTTGCTACTTCCTGTATTGCAATTATATTAATTTCTCTGTTAGCAGTGCTCCAATGTGCTGCTCACTGCATTTTGCACAGGAATGCAGTGTTGCCCTTCCTAGGCTGTCAAAGACAATATTTCACTACAAAAATAAATAAAGTCTAGCTGCTTCTGGCACCTCAGTCCAAGCATATTTATCACTTTTGGCCGATCAGTGCCTGACTCAATGTTCCTAAAGCACAATGGGTTTATTCCCAGATGAATTCAAAATGCATTTAATCAGGTCTTTGCTAAATGTGCTCCCAAACTTCACATCTCATGAGCACAGCAGCACTGTCTCTTAGAGCATTATTCCACCTCACTGTGCACACTGATACAATGGATTTTCCCCTGCATGGATTATGTCAGTGAATGTATGTTTGTACAAGCAGGCTCTAGTTTTAGTTTCTAGATTTAGTTCATCCCCAATGTGCTGCTACCTACATGTGTGGCAATCCGGAATTAACACTAAAAATATATTTATATTTTATCAGAAATGAACAAAAAAAAAAAAAATCAGAACAACAATTTCACAAATGAGTTCAGTGACAGAAAAAATCTTCCACTATTTAAACTCTCAGCTCTGCTGCCTGAGCCTTCCTGCCCAGCCTCCAGAGGGGAAGTACAACAGCTTTTTTGGGCCCAGAAAGAGAAGTGCTGGGTGGCCTTTAGCAAAGAAAACATTGCTTCATGGTTTGCTCCTTCCCCAGTGTGTGCTGGAACAGCTTCATCACAGGATGGGAAGTGAAGAAAGAGAAGGAAGCGTCCATGAAATGTCCGTATCTTTTAGTTCTTCCAAGTAATTCTGAAGTTCCCCAATCAAAAAGCTGAAATGAAACCAGTGGCAGTTCCTCTGGAGAGAGGGCACAGAGTGTGTTTGGGATGGGATGTGCTGCCTCTCCACTGAGACAGCCCACAGACACTTCAGAAACAAAAATCACATCTTAAAACTATGAGTAGATTTAACAATTGAACTCTAAAGAATTAAACATCATAGAAACATTTCACACTTTCTGTTTTTCCTTTCCAAGGGTCCATAGTCCACTCACTCAATCCTGTGCAAAGGTCATGTTACTATGGATATGACCTGCAAGAAATGTGTTGCCTCAGAGCAGCACGAGTCACATGAACAGGCTGAAAGCCAAGAGCTGCTGATTCCCAGTCCTGGAGGATTTTCATGCTTGTGCTGGGTTCACTGCAGAGCAGTCCTGGTGCCAGCCTATGTTCGGCCTTTAAAAGTGTTCATGCAGGTGTAGCTCCCAGAAAACTTGTGGATTTCTTCAAGTGCTGCCTGGGGGAGAATGCTGGTGTGGAAGCAGAGAGAAAATGAGCAGATGAGACCAACCCTTCAATCTGTTCTAATGAGAGATATGTAAATGTGCAATTATGGACATAAATACACAAATGTTCAAAAACCAGCTAGTGAGAGACACAGACAAAACTGGCATCAGCTTCCTGCTGTGAGGAGGCTTACAGGGAGAAAGTTCCATCCAGTCACTCCTTCTCTACAGATATTTATCCAAAAAAGTCTGCAAAAGCTGTAACTTGGAAGATACCATTATGTTTTATTCCTTCTAAATATAATATATATATACTATATTATTTAAATTTTATATTTAAATATTACTATATTATTTAAATATATATAGTATATACTATATATATATATATATATATATATATATAATATATAATATACTCTGATATATACAGATTTGACCTGAATTCTCTGGTTAATCTGCCACCTGGTTGTGCAAGGCATGTGGCCTCCTTATCCTAAGGTATGGATAGAGATCTGATTTCCTGACAGCTACTGTAATGAAAATAACCTATTAATTCTTACAATAAAATGGAACAGCCCCTTTTCTTCTTGACAGAATTTCTGGGAACTTTTACTCCAAATTTTACATTCAGAGCAAAGCATTTACTGTGAATTCTTTTTTCTTGTTTGAAATGCAATACTGAAATTATTTTCCACAGAACTCTTATTGCCTTGTTTCAGTTCCTGACTGCAGCAGCTTTTCCAAAGGTTTTAGTGCAAACTGTCATGGAAACACAAAGGTGAATGTCCTTTCTCTGTGGTTGTGCCAGGATATGAAGTTATGATTTTTTTTTCCCTTAGGAACCTTAAAATTTCAGTCCTGATCACACACAAAAATATTGATTTAATAGTTTCACTGATGTAACACAGGCAATGCTCTCTAAATGCAGGTGGGATGTCCAGGCCTTATGGTTCAGAAATCCTGCACAACAAAAAGCCTGGAGTCCAACAAGTGCCTTAATAAATCCCAATCAACTACCTGTGTGAGTTAATTATTATGAAATTCCCTAGACAAAAATCCTGTTTACACCTCAGGAATCCAAATTTTGGGAACGAAACTGGCTTCCTAAGGGGTTATACAAAGAGAAAACACCTCCAAAGGGAATTTCAAAGTGTCTCCCTTTTGCTTCCATGACAGAGAAGGGAGCACAGTTCCAGCCAGCCTGAGCTTTGCCTCAGGGAACAGACACAGAGCCAATCTTCCCTGTGTGGCACTGCTGAGCAAAGGAAATACTCACCTTTTTAGGATAACAAGGACATGCATTGTCCATGGGAGGAGCAGGAAGGCTTGGTTCATCTGAACAGCTTCTACCGTCCTCCTGGCCACTGTCTCTGGCTTGAGAGGAGGAAAAAGACTTGGGAACCTGAACAGAGAAAATGAAATAATTACAGGTGAACCAAGCTCCTTCCTTAAGGTGCCACTGTCCACGTCCTGCTACTCTAAGTTACTGCTGGGACCTGGCCTTCAAACATGCCCAGGACAGGCTGTGTCTCTAAGAGGCAGAAAATTCCAGTTCCAGCCAAAAAAGCCCAAAAGCAGAAAGCCCAGTTCCAACTAGTACTACTGGGTTAGCTAAACAGTTAAGAATGTACATGTTGGTGCCCTCAGGGAGAAGTGGCAGAGAGTAATCAGAGCCCTGATTCAGGGTTTTTCTTCATTTGAATGCAAACCAATACCAAATGCTGCCTTTTCAGTGATGGTGTTTTTCCTTTTACTCTCAGTTCCTCTTTGCTTGATTCAAATCCTTGACAGGTGAAAGACAAATGTTTTTCTCCATTGCTTTTAACACCAAACATAAGGCTTTTCCCAGCTCCTGCAATAGCTTGACACTGCAGATTTTCTTGACTAAGAGAGCACAATCTGTATTAAAGGTTATTTTACCCATTGTAAAAGATTAATTTGGACAGCCACTACTTGTTCTCTTGGACAGGGGTAAAAAGGAGGTACTGATAGTCTCACTTCTGTAAGTGGCTGTCATTCCCTTCACTGGGAAAGGATTAAGTATTCCAGTGAATAAAGAAGGAACTTGTACTGTTAATTCTCAAGTAATTTGTAGACTGGTCCTTCTGCATGACCATTGCAGATGGCTTCCCCTCCCTCTCTGGTGTGGCTTGAAAATGCAGGGAAAAGCAGCTTCCAGTTCTCTCAGCAGCAGCCAGGGTGGTGCAGGAATATCCCAGCACACTGAGGGAACCAGTCTGATGGCTCCCAGGTGGCCTAAAGTGACCCTCTGTTCCCAGGCAGCCAAATGAGACATCAAATTCTCTTAACTAAATGAAGCATTAATTAGGAGTGTATTCTGATGATTCATTTAAAATGAGATGCTTTCTTCTAGTTCTCCTGGACTGACCTGATTCTCATGCCCTGGAACATCTCTGTGCTGGTGTGGAAGGGCAGGACTGTGGTGGCATTCACTCCAGGACAGTCCAGCAGCCCCAGGGTCAGGCTCTCCATGAAAGCAAAGGATGAAGCTTTGGAGGTGCAATAGTCAATGGCACCAGGGATGGCTGACAAGGCCAGGACAGAGTTCAGGCAAACAATGTGCCCATTCTGGAGCTCCAGCATCCTTGGCAGGAATGCCTTGGTGGTCTGAAGAATAAGAGAGTTAAAAGAAAAGAATCACTTAGCAGTGATACAACAAAACCAGCACTGACTGAAAAAAATAAGGTGACACAGACACAACAAGCCCAAGTGTTCCTGTTCATTATGTAAGGAAAGGAGTGGCAGAGAACCTCGTTGTTCTGTCATTTTTTGATATTCTAAGTGGGCAAAGTTTGTGTAGAAACACAACAAAAGTCTTTCCTAGCACATATATAAGCAGTACCCCCAGATAAAGGCCATGAACAGAGCGCCTTCTATGCTTAAGAACTTTTACAGGATAAAGTCTTCAACTAAGTGATGAAATCACAAGAAGCTCTTTTTCGTTTCTATTGTCTGATTCAAAATGGACTGAAGTTTCACAGCTCCCTTCCCTGTAGTCCCACACTCCTCTGATGTTCCTTTCTCATCACCATACAGGAAACTCCTCTGTGATCTCAGGCTTTGACAAAGACATCAAATGTTTTACTGGAAATCACAGATTGGGAATAAAGAGCATCAAATACTGAATACTACTGAAAAAATTATGCTTATTTTTGATCTCTTTCCTCTGGCCTTTCCCCCTCACATTGTTTTTTCTCTTTTGTTTTCAAGACAGACTGGTTTTACCAAGCATCCCTTAAAGATCTACTGGCTGTAATCTGTCACTCTCCTTCCCAGCTGTTCCAGACTGCAAGGCAAGATGTATTCTATTATCATCTGGATGGCAGTTGTCTCTTGTCAAATGAGCAGTTTTCCTTATCTCTTCCACACCCACTCCTCCCTGAAGGGAGACATCTGCTGATAACAGCCATTGAATGTCCCTGCATGGCTGATAAGAACTACAGCATCCCATTGGCAGATGTGAGCCCAGAGGGAGGAGCCAAGCATTCCTACCTGGATATAATCTGGAGATTCTGGAACACCAGCCAAGCATTCCTACCTGGATATAATCTGGAGATTCTGGAACACCAGCCAAGCATTCCTACCTGGATATAATCTGGAGATTCTGGAACACCAGCACAGCTTCTGCACTGGATTGCCCAGAGGAGCAGCAGCTGCCTCTTGCCCTGGATCTTCAGAGGCAGAGACTGCACCTTTCTCCAGGATCCCTGCTCCAGCAGAACCAGCCCTGGCACTGCAGGAGGGCTGAGCCACAATTCCAATGGGACTGTGCCAACAGCCTGACCCCCAGGGTGTCAGGCTGGGTTCTGACTCTGGCAGTGTTGTTTTGGTTTACTGCATTGTTTATTTTATCCTTTTATTTTCTTACCTATTAAAGAACTATTATTTCCTGCTCTCCTATTTTTTGCCTGAAAGCCCCTTAATTTAAAATTTATAGCAATTCAGAGGGAGAGGGTTTACATTTTCCATTTCATGGGAGGCTCCTGCCTTCCTTAGCAGACACCTGTCTTTCCAAACTGAGACACCAACTCTGGCTACATGGGACACAAGAGCTTCTCTCACCCAGAACTGTCCCAGGGTGTTTATGTGCTGGGATTTCAGCAGTGCATCGTCGTCGCTGTCCATCAGGCTCTTCCCATGAACCACAGCAGCATTGTTCACCAGGATGGTGATGTCACCCACCTGAAAAAAAAAACCAAAAAAACTTGTGACAAAAGGTATCTCTCCTCACAAATCAGCCATTTCCATTAGAGCTGAATAGCCATTATTGCCCAAATACATGGTTATTTTCACAGTTTTTGACATTCTTGACTATGGGCCTTGTAATCCTTTGTATCACCTCATATAGGTAGCTGGACTTTGTACAATCTCATCAATGGTCACCCTTCTTTTTTCCCCATATATTTTTTTCTCATCAAATACTGAATCACAGAATTGTTGAGACTGGAAAAGACCTTTGAGATCATCAAGTCCAACCATAACCCAGCTCCACCAATGTGTTCAGCACTAACCCACGTCCCCAGGTGTCACACCCACATGATTTTTGAACACTTCCAGGGATGGTGCCTCCACTAGTGCCCTGGGCAGCCTATTCTGATGCTTTACAACCTTTTCCATAAAAATGTTTTCACTAATACCCAATCTAAAACCTCCCTTGGTGCAACTTGAGGCCAATTCCTCTCATCCTGTCCCTTGTTCCCTGAGCACAGAGCTGGACCTCCCTGGCTGCACCCTCCATGCAGAGCCAGAAGTGCTTGGCACTATTTAAAGTCAAAGTACTTTGATTTGCAGGAGGCAAGGATGAAAGTGCAGGCTAATTATGGAAGTTTATAAATGCAGCTGACAACTTAGCACTCTGTGTCTTTCATGCTGCCCTTCATTTACTCTCCTGGTGCTCTCTCCTCATTTAATGCTCTGTTGTTTTTCCCCCTGTGAGTAAAGTGCTGCTGAGAGTAACTGGGGTAGCTGAGTTTGATCCATTTACATCCCTGTGGATATAGAGGGGGCTGTTATTTAATTATTTAACACTGAAATGTGTGAAATGACTCATGAAACCTCCAGGGTGAACTATGCTAAGGGGCAGACTTTTATAATCTGTGGATTATATTCTATAGTACATATATATAATATTATATATATATATAAAATATATAAGATACATAATATAATATATAATATATAATATATAATATATTATATATAATATATAATATAAATATATATAATATATAATATATAATATATAATATATAATGTATAATGTATAATGTATAATGTATAATGTATAATGTATAATATATATATAATCCTCCTGAGTCTCCTCTCCTTCAGGGTGAGGCCCCCAGCTCCTCCAGCCCCCTCCTGTCACTATAGGACATGAAATAACACAATGTTATTGTGTTATCTTATTATTACACGCTGCTCTTTTAAGGTAAAAAGAGAGCTTTTAATTTCTGACTCCAACATTTATAGATTTCTAAAAGTGACAGTGGATTGGAGGATGACAGTGCCACCTCTCCAATGACACTGGACAAACCAACAGTCCATCAAATTTCTCCTCCTCCATAAAAGAATGCAAAACAATAAGTTAATTACATAAAGTGTGTTAGAAAGTTCCTTACAAGAACGTAAACATCAGAAAACTTAGAAAATCTTAAAAAATCAAGGTGACACCATCCCAAGCAGATTTCTCCCAGACCTTTTCCCTGACAGCCTTGGCTTGCTGGTAGACCTCCTCACGGTTGCCCACATCACAGATGAAGTAGTGGCACTCTGTCCCCATCATCCTGATCTCCTCCGTGGTCTCCTTCAGGCATTTCTCAGTCCGACCCCACAGGATGATCTGTAGCAAGAAATTTTTGTTAGAGTCCAACTGCTTCTGTTTCATATCTAAAATAATTAAAACATGCTTCTGACTTCAGTGGGTTGATGGAAATCTTTGATGTGTGTTCACTGCCAGGGCTGTTGTTTTGCTTCATTTAAGAAAAGCAATGATTTTCTGTTACATGGGGAGTATCAAGTGGGACCTGTGCTCCACTGCTGATCCTGTGTTTACAGATTCTTTACAAGCAACACAAGCTGAAACAAAAACTCAGATCTGAAGCCCAATGTGACCAATATAAGGAACATTTGGAAATTTTTCTGCATCATGTCATTTCAAATCTCTCCCTGTTTTTGCTGTACACATGTACAAAATGACAAATTTATCCTAAAAGCACAGACCTTCCTGAATATCTGGTGTGTTGTCTACTTCTTGTTTTATGTATGGAGATAAAATCTGCTCTGTAATAAAATGTATTTTTTTCAGCCTAGTAATTACTTGCAATGCTGGTTGCAGGCTGGTGTCTCAGGTGCATTTCAAACAAGTGTTCATCCTACTGTGGACTTCTAAAGTGAGAAATTTCAAGCATGAATTTATTTTGCAGCTCCTATATACAGGATTTCACTTGCCACTGCCTTTTAACACAATAAAAATTAAACACTGCTTCTTGCACAAAGAAAATCTGGAATATTTATAGAACAAACATTCAAATAATGGAGCATGGATCTGATTTACAATGAGACATAATCAGCCAACCCTATCTGGATTTCTACACCATCAGCGAGGCCAGAAATAGAAATAACTTGAGAAGTCACCAGGTTCATTAACTCTCATCATGGGGCTTTGTCCAGTACAATTCTTTCTAGAGAGGCAAAAACATCAACTTTGAAATGGGGCTTCCACCACTGTCCTTCAAACATTAATGTGCAGCTAAGCAGATGTAACCACAAGATTTTTTCTGATTACACAACCTTATTTGCTATTTCTTTCAAGGTTACTGGCAGGAATATAATTTCATCTCTGTTGCTTAAGACATCTATGAATGAATTGATCTCCGGTTTTTGCTCTTCAACTAAGCCTTCTCAGTACTTATCATGTTATAAATGGTGAGTCACTGTTGTTCTGCAAAAAATAAATTACTGAATGGAGCATGTTACTGCAATCAGCTGACTGTTCTGTGACTCTAGGAGCAAGATCCAAAAGAGAGAGAAGAAATGGTTGCTTACATTGAAAATGCAAAATTGTGGTGCTATTTCCAAGCACGTGTGATCCAGAATTACAGTTCCTTCTCACACTACTGTGTACTGAGTCTGACCAGTATATTGATTTTTTTAATGGTTAAAAATAAGCACACTTGCACTTCAAAGATTAAAGAGTCTTTGAGTTTTCTAAAAGTTGAAAGAACAGAAAGAAAAAGGTCTGAATTGCATCTCTGCTTATAGCTCAATCCCTGCAATTAACTTAATAACAGCAAGATAAATATAAAAAAATTATGTGTGCAGTATTCTTACCCCACAACAAATCTCTGGCAGGGAGCTTTAACATGCTTATTTTTTAAGGACTAGCTAAGCTTATCTCATAACTGGTACTAAAACTAATCTCTGGCAGAGTCAAAGAGCTCTTTAGTGTGCCCCAGCAAGGCTAAAATGCAGAAGTATCCAAATCCTCAACCACTTCCTAAACAAGTTACATTTACAATTAATCCCATTTCCATGTCATTGGCACATCTGTGAACACAAACACGCCCAGACTGATAAGATTTATATCCTCAAATTCTCCAGAGCACTAACAAATCTGGTTAACCAGAAACTTCAGAGTGTGTATAAATATGCCAGAGCCATTTCATGGGAAATCTTATCTCAGGGGAAGTAATTTTCAAGGAAAAAGCTGTGATCACACTTAGAAACTATAAGAAAGCATATGGCTGAAATTGCAGCTTGTGCACTGGCCTGGCTTCTAAAGTCTCAGCGTATCACCCTTGGCCATCAGGGCTTGGCATCTCCTCAAAGCTTGTAAAACTGATGGCTATTTACTCACTTCTGATCCCAGGGCTAGACCAAGGAATATTTTTCATGTGTACACTGCAGACTTGAAGGGAAATCAAGAACATGTGAGAAATTTCACAAGCTCTCAGGAAGTATTTACAAAATACGGCTCAGCTGCGAGCACATGCACACTTGCTCTCCCTTTCACAACCCACATGGAAAGGGAGAGGGAAAACCTCTCCAGAAAGGGGAGGAAAAACCTCTGTGGAAAGGGAGGAAAAAAACCACCACAAAATGTCAACTGCAAACATGGAGTTTGATGCCCACAGAGTTTTGCATCCGGGTGAACTTCACCCTCTTGGCAGGGTTGGATTAGTCAATGTACACACTGAAAAATGAAGTGACTTTCTGAAGAGTGATGGAAGGTAGGACAGGAAGAGGAGAGAAACAGAAATAAGGTGTCAGACAAGGAGAGTGTAAGGCAGGAAACTGTGCTCACATATCTGATATTCCAGTGCTTCACACTGCTATTGCTGAATAAAAAGTAGATCCCTCACTCTTCACTTCAATCTGTCTCAAACATCCATCGAGCCTCCTATTCCCAGGAGCTACCACTGGTGCATTGAATGTCAGGAAATATACATGGAAGAATAGTTAAGCAAAGGATGACCTGTCAAAGGAACATCTGTCTGTGATGCAACTCTTGGATATACTATTTTTTTCTGCCCCAACAGTTTCATTGAGACCTTTAATATCTTTCAGGCAAGTCTTGCAAGGTGACCCTCTTAAAATCTGGGCCATCTGGGGAAGACAGAATTTGCTGCTTATCCTGCTGACAACATTAATTTCAACACTGACTTCTTTCCATGAGAAGTTATCGTGTCTTTGATACTGTCCACACTCAGGTGAAGGCTTCAGCCTGTGTAAGACAAAGGCAGTAAATAAAAGACCATTCTTTTGTGAGAGGTCCCTGATGACCCAGTGGGAAGTGAGGGCTCCTGCCGTCATTTCTGCTACTTTTTACAGATGGATAAAGCTCAGAACTCAATACAATGTGCTTTTGGTCCAAATTCAAGCTTGACTGCTCCTATGAGATCATATGAGACTTTAAATTTCTCTCTTACATCTGGCCAGACTGAATTGGCACAGGCTTCCCCCCAGCCTCCCAGGACATCAGATCTTACAGCGAGACAAGTCTGGAGTTGCTGCAGTTGTCTCACAGTTGAGGCTTCTGTTGCTGCTGAACATCTTCAGGAAGGCCTTGGTTTGTAGTCTTTCTGCACAGGCAATACAGCAGTTTTCTGATGTTTCTGATGTTTTCTGGGTCCTTACTCTCCCTACTGCCTCCTGAGATTTGCTACAAACTCATCAGTTCTCTGTGCTCCTGCATTCACCCTCTTGTACAAAATGTGCCATTAGCAATGATCATCCAATGCTCCTGAACAAACCCTTCTGCTCCCTGCTGAGCCACTGTGGGCCTGGGGCTGTTTGCTGCTCCCCATGAGCTCCAGTTACCCAAACACTGGCTCTTCACTTCCCTTGGGATGCAACCCTTGGGATAAAGGAATATTATTCAGTAAACATCAAGAGAGCAAACATCAGTGAACATCAAGAAAGGCACCACTTCATTTCACCCTGCCCCAGCTGGGATTCCAGGGCTCTGCACTCATGAGGAGCCCAGAGCTGTGGTTTCAGAAATGGTCCATTTTATTAGGAAGCACAATTTTTCAAATGTAGACATGGGGCTCAGAGTCTGGTCTGTCTCCTCTTTTCTTTCTAAGTGCAAGTCTAAATTGGCAGTAAGTGTGTCCCAAATGGAAGCTGAGAATGACTCCAACAGACACAGAAGTTCCTGTCTGGACAGAGGAAAATGAGAAGGAATAAGGAGAGGAATAAGGTTCATGATTTTCCAGCCTGTCAGGATGCTGCACAGCCACCCATTCACCAGAACTTAGTGGTGGACAGAGGAATATTTAATTTGCATTTTGGACAAATTCTTGGACAGACAGTTTTCCATCCTGGAAAGAATCCAGCCCTTATTTCTTTCCCCTCTCCATCTCTCACCATCCTCCCCAGCCTGCCTGTTCCTGTGGCACCAGACACACTCTCCTCTCACAGAGTTACTGACCAGAAAATTGGTGAGGACAGGTGCCCAGGGAGGTGGATAAAATCCAGCTCCAAAGCTTCCTGCCTGTGCTTACCTCGGTGTGACCCCAGGCTGGCAGCAGCCAGGGAGGCAGGTGGGATGGGAAAGCCATCCCTGAGACACCAGGTGGGATGGGAAAGCCATCCCTGATACACCAGGTGGGATGGGAAAGCCATCCCTGGCACTGCAGGTGGGATGGGAAAGCCATCCCTGAGACACCAGGTGGGATGGGAAAGCCATCCCTGGCATTCCAGGTGGGACAGGAAAGCCATCCCTGACAGTCCAGGTGGGATGGGAAAGCCATCCCTGGCACTGCAGGTGGGATGGGAAAGCCATCCCTGGCACTCCAGGCGGGATGGGAAAGCCATCCCTGGCACTCCAGGTGGGATGGGAAAGCCATCCCTGGCACTGCAGGCAGGATGGGAAAGCCATCCCTGGCACTCCAGGTGGGATGGGAAAGCCATCCCTGACACTGCAGGTGGGATGGGAAAGCCATCCCTGGCACTCCAGGCGGGATGGGAAAGCCATCCCTGGCATTCCAGGTGGGAGGGGAAAGCCATCCCTGGCATTCCAGGCGGGATGGGAAAGCCATCCCTGGCACTCCAGGTGGGATGGGAAAGCCATCCCTGGCACTCCAGGTGGGATGGGAAAGCCATCCCTGGCACTGCAGGCAGGATGGGAAAGCCATCCCTGGCACTCCAGGTGGGATGGGAAAGCCATCCCTGACACTGCAGGTGGGATGGGAAAGCCATCCCTGGCACTCCAGGCGGGATGGGAAAGCCATCCCTGACACTGCAGGTGGGATGGGAAAGCCATCCCTGAGACACCAGGTGGGATGGGAAAGCCATCCCTGGCACTCCAGGCGGGATGGGAAAGCCATCCCTGAGACA